CGACAGCACTTAACAACAACAACAACAACAACAACAAGGAGCTCTGGTAGCGTAGTGGTTATGAATCGGGCTGTTACCTGAAGGTCGGCAGTTCGAAACTACCAGCCGTTCCACGGGAGAAAGATGAGATGTTCTGCTCCCGTAAAGATTTACAGCCTCTGAAACCCTGTGCAGGGTCACTATGAGTCGGAACCGACTCCAGAGTACTTAACAACAACAACAACTAACCTACAAAACTGAAAATAGGGTACCAGAGTTAGCAATGTATAATGAAGTTAACTACAAACAAAGAGAGGGAATAATGTAGTTTCAGAACTTCCAAATGGCAAGGAAATCAGATAGATTTCAAGATAAAACAGACTGTTTTAAGCAGGGGAAAGGTTAACAAATTACAGGTTAACCTCAAAGAAAAAATAATAAGCCTACATATTAAAATTTTAAAAAAAGAGGAAAATCAGAAACATTTAGTAAACACTGACACAACAGAAATGAAAATGTAAAGAAAACCCACAAACAAAATGAACTCAGCATACAGAATTATGTGGAACAAAGAATCTAGCAACACTACAAAAAAAAATAAAATAAAATAACAGAAAAATAACAGCAATCAATTCATACCTATTGATAATTACACTGAATGCAAATGGATTAAATGTACCAGTCAAGAGACTTAAGAGTAGAATGGTAAGATTACTGTTGTTAGGGGCCATCGAGTTCATTCAGAGACATAGTGACCCTGTATGGGGTTTCCCAAAGAGTGGCTGGTAAGCTTGAACCGCCAACTTTGCAGTTCAAACTGACTTTGAAGTCCAGTGCATTAGCCTGCAGCCCCACACCAGGATCCTTCAATAGGTTCTTTACAAGAGACCTATCAAAAAGATGGAGACAGCCTAAATGCCCATGAACAAGAGAACAGTTAATCAAACTTTGGTACACACACACAATGGAATACTACAAAATGCTGAAGAATAATGATGAATCTGTGGCACATCTCACAGCATGGTTGAACCTGAAGGACATTATGCTGAGTGAAGATAGTCAATCACAAAAGGACAAACGTTGTATGAGACCAGTGTTGTAAAAAGTTTTAAAAATGATTTTCTTGATAAAAGAAATTATCTGTGATGGTGGGGGGGAGGGGTTTTTCATGGGCTAGAGGGTAGACAGATGTCAGAAGAGACTATGAAACTTTCTCTCCAGCATAGAGCTGCTAAAGCAAATGGAAGAAATGAGGAGATACAAAAGCTGAAAAGAATATTACAAAGCTCAGCTCGAGAAGACAAAAGTATATATTACAACAAAATGTGCAAAGATCTGGAGTCAGAAAACCAAAAAGGAAGAATACACTCAGCATTTCTCAAGCTGAGGGAACAGAAGAAAAAATTCAAGCCTTGACTTTTGTTACTGAAGGATTCTTTGGG